GCTGGGATCAACAATTGTATTGCTATCTGTTGTCGTGTTGTGATGATTGTGTACGGAGCTCTCAGCTCTGAGGTAAGTGCACTTGCCCACTGGGCGGTACCTTCTACAACAAGATATCATGTGACTTCACCCGCGTGGTTACAGATCGACAGCATGAGGACAACATCGTAAGTTTTGTCGGCTCTGTAGTGAGAGAGGCATTGTTCCTTGTAAAATCATGCTATGCGACTTATAGATGACATAATTCGTGGGGTGAGGCACATGATCCTCGCACAACAAGAACTTTTCTGCACGGTGGGTTTTTCGCGTCGCAGGGGGGGACGTTACCACTCCACTTCCTTGCTAGACGCTATCACACACTTTTGGGCTGCATTCAATTCTCTTTGCGTACATAAGGCTTTGTGCAGCCGCTTGCTTCACCGACTTCATAATCAACTGCATAGACGCAAGGTTGTAGCAGCCCAATTGTTACTACACTCTTCTGGCAAATTTCCAACACCAATCTACATACACTCTCTAGCCCCAGACTAGGAGCGCATGTCTAAACATCCTCATGATTTACAGTATCCCCCTGGGTTATGTCTATAGCCCCTACAAGAGTAACCGCGTCCACTTCCATAAGGCTTTCAAGATCTTCTGTTGCAATCCTTGGAGGATGCTCAAAATCAAAGGATTGTCTTGAGGCAAACCGAAACATGGTTGGAGACGGTGGGTGACAAAACAAAGGTGAGAATGGCATGTTCGGTTCGCGGGATGTCTTGGTCGAGCGCCATCCCTTGAAAAATTCGCGAATGCGTTCACAGCTCGTTGCCTTCCGGCGGTTGCATCTACTGCCTAACGTTGCGGGACTGGAGGTTCTAACTATTACAAAGAATAGACACATTATAAGGTTCAAGTGGATCGAAAAGGCTATGTTATATTGAAGATAGTTGGAGAGCTCAACTTAGGCGTCGGCGAGCTCTAACAAGCCTTATATAACTATAGCTTTGCAACCCTATAAATCTTTCTTCCTAAATTTCTATTTTCGAAATATCCTAACCGCCAAATGGGATTTCATTGTTGAGAATATTATAACAATTCACAGGGCAGGGAGACAAGCTCAAGAACTCGCCAATGGCGTTCTTGCGGGCCTCCCAAGATGGAGGACATGATCCAAGCTCTTGGAGAACTTTCACTGCCTCGTAGCGTTTAGTTATACTCGCCTGATCTATAGGAGTCCATTGATTTCGAGTTTTGGCGATAACATCCGCTCCGGCATACACCAATAATGGCATGACGTTACAGGACCCTGTGACCGCTGCTAGATGAAGCGACGTGTTTCCATGGTGGTCTTGTGCGTTCACGTCCGCTCCAGCCTTAATTAAAAGACTGACCGCAGCTGTTCTATTGCGCGCTGCAGCGTAATGTAGTGGGGTTAAAGAGCAGCTATCTACTGGAAAAACCTCCATCTGAAGGTCGTGAAACTTCCTAAGGAGTGGCTTGATAAATGTAGTTAGGCCAGATCCACATAGACGATGCAGCATAGTAACTCCAAACTCGTCTGCCCGTACAATGTCCATATTAGGGTCGGCTAGGAGGCGGAGAAAGGTTTCAGGCTGGTTTTGAACAGCAGCCCGCTCGAGAATTGATCCAGATCCTCTACGATTGTACCAGAACGATACATTGTGCAGCTGCATGGTTAATTCGTATCCCTTGTGGTGTTTATGTACCCTAGCAAGTTCAGAGAGCCGTGTAATTGCGCGCGCGTAAAGCCTAGAGCATGTTTGAACAATGCTAAAGATGTCTCTAGACGTGAGTTCAGTTAGAATTATGTTAACTAATTCTGCAGGCAGGGCCAATAAAGACATTGTACAAAAAGAAGTGTTGTAATAGTCTACTGTTGCTGACCCTTAAGTACTATAGACCTATCTTGAAAGGGCTTGTCTCTATGTTACTCATATATCGTTCTCCAAAACCAAAATCCAGGTTTTCAGCACCCTTCTTCCTAAACTCTAGATGCTCTTATCGGATCTCTACAGCTACATAACAATGTGAAGAATACAAAGTATGTGTAATAACAAACTGAACCTCCCCTCTACGTTGGGTCTCCTCTAAAAAGTCATGAAGGAAGCCTATCACAAAGTTTCCTCTGATCTGTCGCGCGCTCGAGCCAGATCTTTCCAGTGTGAGACAGTGAGTTGTTAGGTCCGACACGTTACCGAGTAGACTCTCGTGTGTTCTCAGGCCAAAAAGCTTTTTAGTAAGATTATAATCCATGTGTAGAATTTTGCCATTGCAATCATTGTATGTTGATATGTACGTGCGTACGTGCATGTGGGGTCGTGTACTTAAGAGTGGAATCCATCCGGGCAAGTTGTTTGGCATTGTACCAGCCAGGTACGGCGCACAGAGGATCCAACGGGAGAAGGAGGCAATCTGCCTGGCAACTGATGTATCAAAACGAGATTGAAGTTCTACAAGACTGAGATCTTCCGGCACAAAGCCTTGTTCAGATATTTGGCGGAAATCTCGAACTAAAGTTGGGTGGCTTTTTGAGTCTCTTGAAGAATCCGATACAAGAACAAAGAGGTGGAATTCCTGGGTTGCGGACAAGACACTGTATGGCGTAGAATGACGTAGTCTCTTTTGAAGTCTTGCAACATCTGAGCCAAGAATTCGAACTTTCATGCCGGATTCCACCATCTGAGAGATTACAGAAGAATCTTCAAAGACATCGTCAAGGAAGTTAAGGTACTCTCCTTTCTCCCATTCTGAAAGATTACAGCAAGTAGCCTGCAAGAGCCTTGAGATATCAAATGGGCGAAGGAGAGATAGTATAGCACTACGAAAAGGTTCAATTCGAACAAAGAGATCTCGAAGGGTAAACATTGCTATATAATTGTTGGATGTGTAGTTGGTATGGTAAGTTCAAGGGGCAGATTTAATGTGTTATATCTTATAGAGGACATAGATTGTACTATGGGGCTCTTTGGTTTTATAAATTGATTTTGGAAAGTCAAATATGTAAATTTGAGAAACAATTACAAAAGACACAACGATAACACCCTAAATCGAGAGCTAGAACATGTGAAGACTAGCAAAAGTTGAAGGATGATTGTAACCAAGCACTCGAACTTTGTTAGCTACTGTCCTCCAAAATAACCATTGCGACTGTCTGAAGTCCCCCTTCTGCTTTAGCAGTATAGCCTGATTGGTCATGCTGGCTAGCGTAGCAGGATGATCTAAGCCAATAGTGCTAAGAAATCCATCAACTGCTTGCACGTTCAACGTAAACGCCTCTCTATACCTACCTTGTCGCTGTAGAGTTAATGCGAGGTTACCAATACTCTTCAGAGTATCAATATGAAGATCCCCTAAGATGTTTTTGCTTAATTCTACTGCTTGTTGACCAAGGTACTCCGCTTCTCTGTATTCGCCTTTATGGTATAGTACCAAGGATAGATTGCTAAGGCTCGTGAGTGTTGAGGGGTGATTCAGTCCAAGCGTCCGGCTAAATCCGTCTAGGGCTGATCTGTTCACTATCTCTGCCTCCTTGTATTTGCACTGGCTCATCAAGACTCCTGCTAGTGTTTCCAAACTGATAAGTGTTTGTTCATGATCATGGCCCAAGACGCTTTGTCGAAGTTCAAGCGCCTCAAGTATCTGAATTTGGGCTTCTTTGTAGTATCCTAACCTCCATAGATACCAAGAGGTATTTGTTAGGATCTGACCCCAGGCCTGTGATAGTTCGGCAGAATGCTGGTAGAGGAAGCGTCCCTGGTATAACCATTTGGCAAAGGGTAGAAGTTGCTCGCATCGCGTCCAGTTTTCGAACTCGCCAATTGGAAATTCTTTTGCTAGCTGCTGGACCAAGTACTCGTACTGATTGCAGTCCATCAGCCCATACGAACTAGCCGTGGGCCACTCTGTCGTTGCTGTACTCCAATCTTCTCCGCTGGCGCTGGCATTTATCTTTGAATATTCAACATTGTACTGCTGCGATTTGCTAGTACTTCTTTTACGCCGCATCCGGTTGCATATAGCTGCAATAAGGTTGTGTAGTATACTAAGATGTCTTTGCATACTCTCTAGCGTTGTATGAAGGTTGATAGCACCTTATAGGCCTTTAAATATGGCTAAGTTAACATAAGCACTTTGCTACATAAAGAGGTAGTGTAATCCTTTGCTATTAATAAATTTTTCAACTCGCAGTTTAGAAATACGCTTTTGAAAAGTGGATAACAAGATTTTAGAAAACAGAACATAGCAATGTTTTCCTACACAAATAGCCTGTGTTAGTATTTGCTATATACTATAGTATGTAGTACTGCACGTATATCCGTGTTAATGTTCTATGTACGTTTTGCCAACCCAGTTATCCAATCTTTCTCTCGGGGGCCAACACGTTTTGAAGGTCTCTACATAGACATGTTCGAAACGCACATTAAGCAATGCACTTGTTGCAAATTGCTCTCTTATGGGGGTCTAATATCTTGTTGCAGACAAGGGAAAGCTCTCGCGTACTTTATCACCCTTAGCTTCCAACAAACTCAAGATGGGACTATCTATAGTAGTGAGAAGGAGAATGGGCGTCCTGTCCACGTGGAATTATATAAGCAACATAACGCTACAACAACCCTTTTAAGAAACAGTGCTGGCACTTAAAGAGATTGGTAGTTAAAGTGCGCTTAAAAATTTGAAAGAGGTGGTATACTATGGTAAAGTTATTATTTAACTTTATATAACTACTAACTAACAGTTATTAGATACTCTAAGAGAGGATTGCTACATTCTAGATCTGTTAATGCTATTTTTAAAAGAGTTTCTTACATAAATGCAATAAGATTAGAGTACGCATAGACAATAGTTGTTACATTAACGCACGCTATAGCTAGCAGGCAAATTTAAGCAATTAGGTAGCTCTTAATAGGGCAGGCATAGCAGTATAGTAAAAAGGCAAGCTAACTTACGTTGTGTCGCATTCGCGGTTATGGTTAGCGCGATCACGTTCATATTATTATATGGTTACAGACACTCCCTAACACAACAAATTTAGCAATAAGTTAGAGATATAGATGTTCTCGGCTTTGTAGCCTTAAGCTACAAAGTCTGTTCTCTTCTAATATCTTGTAGAAATAGTCCCTGCTTACCGTGCAATACAACAACTTAGTACAAGCATTACGCGACCGCCTCGCTTTGACAGGCAGTAAGTGCGTCGAAATCTCATGCATTCTGTTAGAAGTTTGTCAACTCACAGCTCGTTGTAACATCGTCCTATCCCGAGCACTGTGCTTGAGCTCGAGAGGTTGTCGTGCATCTATAGCAATTCCAAGTCTGCCTGTTAGAAGTGCCAGATGAAGAGACCCCGCACATTGTGCTTAAAGCAGCTTAGCTGTAAGCTATTGCTGCTGACATAAATTCGAGCCGTGTGGCTGTGGCTGTGGCTGTGGCTGTAAAAGCACTTTTGCTAAGCGTTCCAGGGACATCTGAAAACTGGCTCGAACTAGGAGCATGGCTAGGTTCGAAGATCCAGCCGTATAGCTCATGTCAAAGCCGCAATCAGAGTCTCATACAGCCATCATGCAACTTCAAGATGCAGCGTAATGCACGACTTACCTACACGAAGGCTTACATGCCCTAGAAATAAACTATCGCGCCGCCCTTTAGCTCTGCAAAGCCGCTGTTGATCCCTCCTCCGACCTACCACGTCCTAATCCTTCTCGAGCACATCGTAATTGATACACATACCAAGCAGTAGCCGAATACCGCTTCAGCTCTTGGAAGGGCAACATCATGAGTTGGCTGGCGTCTAATGAACAAGGTAGGCATGTCTTAGCCAGCGGGAATAGCTAGGGACGGAGATCAACTGGCATGATACAGAATACTAGGATCCGAATGTAGGCTTCAGTAAGCAGAGCAAGTGTTGCTAGAAGCATGCTGCCCCTTTTCAAGACAGTGCCAGTATTCCTCCTTTATCACCCTGTTCCTTATATTTCTATTTCTCTCAAACACTTGCTCCAGCATCTGTATCCACACTTCCATTTGTAGCTGCCGAAGCGTTACTGTTTGTTGTCTCAGTTCCTGCGCTTGGAACACATGATTGTATAGACGGCGTTGGGCGAGACGACGAAGGTGTCACTGAGCCTGGCGTAGGTGCGAGACTCATACGCGATGCGGCCAAGCTCATCCGCGAAGCAATTTTTGCTTCACGTTTTCTTTGTCGTGCGGCAGTAGCCAGCGCCTCTCTGGTGCTCGCAATCTCTTCGTTTTCAGCGCCTCTTCGTCTCATATTCTGTTCCATCTGGTGGGTCTCCTCTGGGCTAGGTCAGACTTGCAGCATCATTTCGGAATATGGGATTAGGTCGATTACATACCTTTGCTCAATGGTGCAAGTCTCGATACGTTATCATGTACGAGCACAGGATCGGCCAGGACCAACATGCCTTCCTCTATTATGAACCTTCGACCCAGCAGCAAGTCGAAAGGAGCATCTTCTTGAACCAAAAACTCAGTCTCCCACGATCTGGCTGAGTCCCTTGTCCATAGTACGGAGATCATGCCTTTCGAATAGAATAAATGACCCCCGGCACCTGTGTAAGGAACTTCTACTGCGGGTTGAACCAGGCTCTGTAGTCCAAAGCGCTCTACAATGGAAGCTGCTATCCAATTATCTGCACTTGCGGTATCAAGTGAAGCACAAACTTTGGGTCCTTCTTCGCTTGATCCCTGAATACCAATTATGGTTGCGAAGAATTGAAATGGGTTTGATGTGCTCTGCGCTCCTCTAGGTCGTTGATAGATGCCCTCAGCCGCTCGTCTCAACTTTTCTAAGATGTCTTCCGAGTGATCGGCCTCATCACGAGTTCCTTCCCGAGACTTGATTCTTATCGTAATGGGTCCAGGAGTGTAATGACTATTATTGAACACAACTTGGAGCTGCTTAATGAGTGATTCCGTTTGCTTTGCAGAGTCCGCTCCCCCCTGGGACAAATCTAAGTCAATGCTGATAGGTCCGGCCGTTTGCGGTAAAGGTTGGTCGTATGCATAATTGGTCAGGAGTCCCTGTGTTACGCCGCTGGTTTACGATTAGCGGAAAGAAACGTTGTTGCTCAACCAAAGATACTTACTCCATGACTATATCCCTGAGAATCTTGACAGATCTTCTGTAGTCTTTCATAGTCTCGACCAAATTGGCTTCAGCGCCCGACGCTGGTTTCTTGCTCTTCCGCCCAGATTTTAATACATACAACTCGTCGATCTCGGCCATCACCTTGACAAGATGTCGCTGACATAGTCGCAGTGATAGTCTAGCGCTTTCCGGAAGCGAAGACGTGCCCGAAAGAGCTATTTGCCCTACCTCCTCCAAAATTTTGTTGTAAATCTCGACTTCTAGTTGGACGGTGGTCAACTGCTCGAACTCGCTAGTTTGGAATTCTTGGAGGTGTTTGAGGTGTTTGAACGTTTCCTGTGCAGTTGAGAGAATAGAGATGGTGGCGGCAGTGATTGATAAAGGGTCCATTTTTGGTCACGGATACGTAGAGATGGTCGTTTGTATATAGTTTTTGTGATTGTGGTAGAAGACTGCCGGCAACTCTCGTTGGGGATGCGAAAGTCTTTTAGCATTCCATAAGCTGGGGTCCAAAAGAACTCCGCGCCATTCGGAGCGACCGACACGTCCTAATTGTGATTAATCCAATGATACAATTAGGAATGCGCCGCTTATCGCCATGTACTGCAAATCCTCACTGCGGGTGATACGGCGTCCAATGACGAGCTAGCACGTATGCACGCTTTCGTAACCGTGCAGGATGTGCCTCTTCAGCTGAAGCTACCGCTGACTTCAGGAATACGATACGACCTAAATGGGAGGACTTGTTTCGAGTATATCAAGGTTCGCTGCTCTCGTAAAGCTAGAAAATCAAGATTGACTCTGTGCGCTTGCTTGGAGACGTTACAATGGATTTACCAGCATCCGAGCTCGGCGCTGAGCAACAAAGGGAAGGCGTAACCGTGGCTTCCATGCGCGAGAGAGCACGCGATGGCTATCCGTCCTTAGCAGAGCTGATGCACTCAAATCCCGATAACGCCATATTTCGACGATTCGGAGAGCTCAATATGCTGCATTTGTTGCGATTGCAGGCAGAATTGCAAAACATGGAATCTGAGCTACAAAAGATAAGAGAGGAAGACGCAATGTCGAACGATCCTATTCGCGAGTGCTATGCGAAAGACTTCACGGCTATGCGCGACAATGAAGAAATCGGAGATTCAGAGCAGTACGAGCAGGTCATCAAAATCGGAACGAAGCTACAAGAATACAGTATGTTGTAGGATCCATCTTCTTGGGGCTTTAATCGCTGCTAAACAGGTCTAGACGCGGCTTTGAACCTTGTACTGCAAGTGACAAAGGCCAAAGAGCCGACAGAGGCTGAACTGAAGCGTCTATTAGGCTGGTTATCTAGAGCGAAAGGAGGAAACGGCTTTCTCACGGGTGAAGAGGCCAGAGTATGGCAAGGGAATGATTCATCCGAATACATCACGCTGTTCCCGCGTGACCTCGAAGATGATGCTTTCACGACTTTCCTGGGTGGTCGCTTGCTGGATATGTATCATGGCATCATTGGATATAAGAGACGCAGAGTACGTGCATGGACTGAGAATTCTGGCTCTGCTGACAAGTGTATTAGAAGTACGGCACGGGCGCCCGTGATTCTGAGCTACGCAAGTACTCAGTGCGGCGAATTGGCAAAGCCAGCAATATTGCCGTTGCTGCTGTATCATCCATTCTGCCGACCTTGGTAATCCTCGGCCTCTACTTCGTGAAGCGTATGATCGTAAGAATCGGGCTTGTGATCCTTTTCACAGCAATCTTCTCCGTCGCACTTGCAGTGTTCACATCTGCTCGCAAAGTGGAAATCTTCTCTGCAACAGCAGCGTATGTGCGCTTCTTTAGGATTTGCAGGAAACGAGCTAATATCATTGTAGGTTCGCCGCTGTCGAGGTGGTCTTCATTGGAAGTAGTAGCACCAATGGTACTGGATAGCAGGAACCTTCTTGATCCATTCTTCGAGTGTTATATGTTGTAGTTGAAGTGAGTAACAAGATGGTGTTTATTTCACGAGCCAAAAGCAAAGACCAATAATCCTAAAATCCTGAATTGCCCGCGTTCTATTGCATATGACATAGGAGTTGCTTCAGCGGAGACTGCGTCAGGAACCGCAGACACTATTAGACGATGTACCGCCAGTGTCAAGTTCTTCTGATCGCACTCGCGCTGCAGAGTCATAGAGAACGAATGATAAATAGCATATGAGCCTATTGATATAGCCGCAACGGATCAGAGCAGACATCAGACGCTGATAAGGTTTTGAAGTGGGCTGTGAAGGCAGCCTGGAGAGGCGGCACACGCGAAGACGCTGACCGGTAGCGGGGCGGGGAGCGCTAGGCGCTAGCAGCAAAGAGCCCTGGTGGCGTGATTCAGACGGCCAACAAGCTTGGTGTACCGGTAAGCAGCCATAAGTAACAGCTAGGCTGCTTTAAGCGATGTGCTCGGATCCTGCTGCTCTGCCTATTACAGCACGCAGGCTTAAAACCAGCATAGAAGCACAGCAACATCTTGTAGTCAAGCATAACTCTCGGGATACCTCTGCTGTGTGCTAAGCTACAAGCTGACAGACTTTTGTTAGGATACGTTAGGTATCAAGGCACCTACGATGGACTAAAGTAGGTAAGTTACGTAATGCTTGAAGCACGTCGTTCAATTGCACGGTAGCACAGCGTGTAATTACTTGAGCGACACTTGGCAGAAAAGCAGTTCACAGATTCAAGATGTTATTCCGAGAATCTAAATCACTTTAGCTAGTTGTAGAGTTTATTATATCGAAAAGCAATTTTAGCGTCTCGCTACGCAGGGTGTCTCGGCACGCAGAGTAGGACATTACATCTCTAATTGTAGAATCAACTGTGGCGTCTTGTTCTCCATCTTCGTTTAGGAATCAGGATCCTGTTGCAATTAGACTAACGATCAGACTAACGGTGGCTTATCTACTCGTTAACCTGGAATTCCAATTCTTAGGTCATGCCATAGAGACAACACGATGCCAGTTGCAGTGTGACTAAAGCGATGATAGCAGGAAGCAGTTTAATTGTGTATTTGTATACGATTGACTGAGAGAACATAGAAGATACATTAAGAACGCTTCCCACGCTACCAAAGGCTGCGCCTGCCTACTTCACTATATCTCCCTTCAAGAGAGCTTGGCTAGACACCATATGAATGTGATGAACCTCATGGAAATGAATTCTCAATTCATCTTTAGAAGCGTGTTGAACCCCACATCCCTCAATTGGGCATGCTAGGGGCCCTTCTGGCCTTCGTTTGAGGTGAGTTTCAATATGCGTCCTGAGGTGGGTTACATCTGACCACAACCTATCACAGCTTTTATAGTCCTTAAAAGGACACTGACCTTGACCAATTACCATTCCACGCCATAGGATCACGCCATAATCCTGGCTGTCAAGATCCAAATCTGTACAATAGTGGCTTTCCCACAACGCTGGCGCTACGGGAAAAGCGCACTGATAACAGAAGTATGCATCGCGAGTATTGCAGAAGCAGTCCAGTAGATGGGAGGCAATTCTTGAATGACGCAGATTGTCGATCTTGAGGTGACAGTAAGGGCAATGTCCATCGGCGTTGAGCGGCAAAACTGGAGCTGGATATAAGGGTCGAAATGGCCTAGGATCGGCAAGAGCCATCAGCGGTCGAATGCAGCTACCTAGAGAAGCGCTCTCCGCAGTCCAAAGCGTCTCAATCACGCTTGCTTGATGCGGGTTGTATTTCAGCATCTGCTTGAATCTTACTGTCGGTATCGGGCGCAGACTGACCGGCATCTCGGTGCCCACGAGTGAGGAATCTTCCAATTGTGGAGCTGTGCTACATCTTGCTTTCTCTGAGTATTGAGCGAGATCGACTTTGTATTGCTCACGACGTGCTTTCCGATATACTGATTCGTGACGACTCTTAGGATGAGCGGCAGAAACCTTATCCAGAATATCCTTTGATGGTAATGGGAGTAGTCCCATAATCGCTCTTGGAGGCTTGGGACCAGAAAAGTCTCGAGTCAACGCGATACTTTGAGTGTATTCAGTGTGCGACGTATCCTGCGGCTGATCGTACGCTATCGCTTGAGCATCTACGCTGATTGTAGGTGCGGCGTATGCGTGCCATGTTCGCTCGCCTTTGTGACCAAGGGCTTCCTGAGTGCCCTTGGAACTTGCATTAGCTGAAAACAATCAGTAGGATGTAGATAGCTTTAGCACTTTGCGAGTTGCACATACCTTCTAATTTGTTGGCCACTCCACGCCTGAAGGTATAGGTTGTAACTGGCTCAGTATAGCCGCACTCTTCACATATCTCCTTTAGGAAGGTAGTAGTAGACATGGCCGTCATGATACGATCTGGCGAAACAGCTCCTCCGGGCAGCATCTTTCGAAAAACTGGAAGGGACTGCTTGTCTTCCTTAATGCCAAACAATCGTGAGCCCGCAGATGTAGGGACCCAGCGATTATCAAAGTCCTTGGGTGACATTTGCTGCACAAACACGTCATCAGCCAAGGCGAGCGCAATGAATTTGCGTACAGGACATTTGAACCGTTCCTTTGGGTCCATGTGCTCGTTCAAAGTCACGGTTTTCCTGTGCATATTAGCTCTATCGTCAATCAGCTTTTTGCCACAGACTATACCTACACTTTGCTCTGGATGCCTCGCGCAAACTTGCGATTTCGTAAGGTGATCTTGATTTGGTAACGCAGCTGACCCTCTCTTGCAACAAGGCTGAGGGTTATGTCCCCATAATGAATGCCTTCGTTGGAACCTCGGTGCGAGGAAGATTCTGTTACCTCCCCAGTTCGCAGACCCCATACTGAGACAACGTGAAGCCAGAATGAGAACTGTACCATCATTCGCGGATGCGCATACACGCGTTCACTACAGTTCCAAAGGTAGTACTGGATCTCATCTGCATCAAGGGCGAATGCTACAGATTTGGGCCTCATTGCAGTGGATGCTCCCCTTGTATTGGCAAGTTCGCGGATGAACTAAAGGGGATAGTCAGTTTTATTAAAGAGACAGACAGTTATAGACATACCCTCTTAATGACGGCAATGTCTTTGTTGTGTAAAGCAAAGTTTTTTGCAAGACGTATTCCACGTCGCAGCTGCTGGAATTCCTTCAGGAGTGTGGTTACTGTGATTCGATCACTTATTTTCCCAAGTCCGGTTTTGACTCTCCACGCCATGAACGCCTTCACCCAAGGTACCTTCAAGTCCGATTGGAATGGTGCGGTAACTTCACTCTCATTGTAAGGAGACGGGAGGTTGACAGCGAATCTGCTGAAGTTAGACACTATCGCACGTTGTATGTGGGAGACATAAACCTTTTCCACAGCTTCAATATTCTTGTAATACCGTCTCTGTCATAAGCCTCAGCGGCTTCTTCAATCGACACGAACGGATTTTCATCCCCAGCTAGAGCTGCAATATCATCAAAAAGATCCATGTTGTCCATACTTGCTATGTATTGAGCCGTTAGACGAAGAAGTCTATGCGTAGTATTGATAAGTATGGCGGAGCGTCTGGAGCAGGAGCAGACCAGACGACCTCAGTCAGCATCTGCCATACCCGCCATTCCATTCTTAGACTGTACGGGGCTAGACGTTTCTGCAACTCGCTTTTCAATTTTTGGATTCTAATTATGTTCTGTTCAGCCACGTCGAGCTTGGCAGAGAAGCACAAAAAGTGGATCCCGAATTTCAAAAACGGACTGTCAATTTGGAAAGTCATCAACGCAATATATTACAAACAATTAGAGAAGCTCTATATCGTGTCAAGCATCGGTGGTTTAGTGGTAAAATTAGCCGTTGCCATCCTTCGTAGGACAGTCTCGGCTAGCCCCGGGTTCGATTCCCGGCCGATGCAACACTTTTTTCTCTCTCTTGTCACTTCTTAAAATATCAACTTGCAAGGTAAGCTAGTCCATATACTTTCCGCGCACATATGGTTCCCGCGCACCCCACCACAACGCGTACCTCTGTTTTTGAAGCTATCTATTGTCAACGCCACATACCCAAAATGGATCCTAAGGAAGTTGCTATCCAGTCTGCTATTGATGGTCTTGTTTCTGGTGTTTTTAGGAGCCAGCGGAAGGCGGCTGCTGCGTGTGGGATCCCTGAATCGACGCTGCGAGGCCGGCTACGCGGTCAACAACCACACGCGATAGCTCACTCAAATCAACAACGATTGACGCCGGAGCAGGAGAACTTCCTAGTAGAGTGGATACTGGAAGAGGACTCACGTGCACAGCCACCATCTCATCCCCGTGTGAGAGAGATGGCCACCCGAATCCTCCATATGAACGGCGACCACGAGCCACTCGGGCATCTATGGGTACCCCATTTCATCACACGTAACCCACGCGTCGCCTCTATAGTTGGACGAACGATTGAGAGCGCAAGGACTACAGCAGCTAATTATGAGACAATTCGCGCGTTTCTGGAGCTATTTGAGCGTACTCGGATTGAGCTGGGTATACAGTATGAAGACATATGGAACATGGATGAGACTGGGGTTGGTCTTGGGGTATGTACCAACACCAGAGTGGTTGCCAATTCAT